TCAGCAAGCCTGGAGTGCTTGGAACAGCAGCAACCAAGAGAGCTGCTGCATCAAAAAGTCGAAGAAACAGCCAACTCCACATGTTATCCTATAACCTTCTCATGCAGGCCACAGAAGTGAGTGTGGGTACATCCACATAACCAGAGAGGGAACATTAACAAATAAAACAAAAATTTAACATGGAAAGAAAGAAAAACTACATTATGATAGGATGGTATTTCCTAGAAAATGTAAGAGACATTTTGCTATACCAGTGTCTGGTAAACAACTTCAAAGTTTCGCATGTTCAGATGGAAAATTTATGCCTAGATAAAGCCAGAGCAGCTCATACACATTTTTTTAACATGTCTTTAAAGTGTCAGTAAGCAAGCAGCAGCTCTTTGACAGTACATTTTGTACTTTCCATATTAACCATATTGCAGAAGACCACTCATTTTTAGTCACTTGTCTCATAAAAGAGCAAGAGAGAATTAAGATGCTTGAGAGCTCTCCTTGCTCGATATTTTAGTGAAGTAATTTGGAACTTTCAGGTTAATAGCATTATTCTGCTCTATTGTCTATATATAACTTTAATCAAAATGAGAGCTGTCTCCAAAGTAACTGCAATAAAATAATGTAATAATGTACTTTTTCTCATAGAATTGTCTAATTTCCAAGTACCCATTTGATCCAGACTTATAAAACAATACAAATACAGTAACTTAAAAGAAAAAAATGTTTAAAGTAACACTCCAAATTTATTAAACTGATTAAGATTGATTGATAATTGTAACTGCTTTGCAGTCAAAATTTTAGAAGGTAATTTAAATAATTTATATATTTATAAATGTTGGTAATTTGTATTATTATATAATTAGAAGTTTAGGATGAAATTTAAATAATGTTGATATATTTACACAATTATAAACTTTACCCAAAATGTTTAATTAAGATGTATTTTAAATTATTAGTCGAGAAACCTTTTAAATAAGCATTCCACATTGAAAACTGAGTTTCAATTATTATTACAGAAAAAAAAGAGGTCAAGGTTAAACTGTTTGTCTTCCTTAAAAAGTTTATCATGTCTATTGTGTCTCTACTTAGAAAAAGAAATTTCAATGAAACTAGGATATTAAAACCTCCCAGGAAACCAACAGTGAAAGCTGCTAAGAATTTCACAAGGTTTTCCCCCCCTTAGGTGTTAATTAAATGATCATTTAACACTGCAATGTACACACAGCATTTTCATCTCCTGACAGCACAACCTGTTATAAATCCAGGGTAATAAAAGTCTTGGTGTAAAGGCTCTGAACTTAGTTCCCACAACACTCTAAGATGCCTTGTAGTGTCTAAGGTTAAGCATCCAGACACAAAACAAAGCTTGAGCCTACTCGACTCCCAGTCCAATTTTCCCATCGCCTAGTGACCTAGGTAACACTGTGAGCGATAAAGAATAAATTTAATTTCTCCAGCATTTTGTGAGGATTAGGAACAATTGTTGGCTTGCAATGACTTTTTATCCTTAGATTCTTTTTCTCTGGAGCATTCCTCCGGTCCTAAACGAGAATTCTGGTGGTTTAAGACATAGAACAAACAGAACTTTAAATTAGGCTTTTTTTCAATCAATTGGAACAGTTGGAGGGGCAGCAATCAACCTTTCTCCTTGCTGCAGTCAGCCATTCACATCAAGCTTTAATCTTTCACTTGAAGAAGAAACCTATAGTGATGGGGCAAAGCTATCTTTCCTCCATTCTTTTTCCAGACTTAACTTACTTCTCCTTTCTTTCAGATTATTTTAAATACTTAAATCAAGTTGCTATACTCAGCCATAAACATTCATTTGGGGTCATTTCAAGAAGCAGGGATGTTCTCCTAATAACGTTTTACACTACAATATGATGCCCTGGTGTGGATGATGATGAAGGCAACTCTCTCTCTCTCTCTCTCTCTCTCTCTCTCTCTCTCTCTCTCTCTCTCTCTCTCTGTCCCTGTCCTCTCTCTCTGTCTCTGTCTCTGTCTCTCTTCTCTTTCTTTCTCTCTCTCATCTTCCTTCCTCCCTTTCTCCCTCTCTTTCTCTCCTTTCTTTCTTTCTTTCTTTCTTTCTTTCTTTCTTTCTTTCTTTCTTTCTTTCTTTCTTTCTTTCTTTCTCTCTTTTTCTCTCTCTTTCTCCTTCCCTCTCTCCCTCCCTCCCTCTCTTCCTTTCTTCCTTCATTTTTCTTTTTTATTGTTTCCTTTTCTGGGACTCATCTTTTTAATGTCTGTCCAAAGATTTCATAAATCACAATTTCAAGAGCAACCTCTCCCATCAAGAAGTCAAGGATGAGAAACTAGTGTGGTTATGAGACACAGATGACTGGGTGCCACACATTGTATGCCCCTGACCACAGCATGTGGATACTGAGAAGTATTAGCATTAGGACAAAAGCAGAGGAAAATAAAAATATCTCTTGACTCTAACTCATTTCATTATAGAACAGTGATTACATTCAAAGTGCTAAATAGTTTGCAATTTTTACTACATTTTGAAAAAAAAGTATCTTGAAAATACATTTAAAATCATACATGCACTTTAAAATACAGAGGACAATGCCTCATACTTCACTATCACACCTCAATGAGAATAGACACGTGAGTGAAATACCATATTGTCTTAATTAAGATAGACATTTTCACTAGTACTAAAAATGACCCTAAACCAGGGAACTGATGTGAATTTTTGGAACATCCTCAGAATCTTTTCTGATACTCTTGAAGTACTTTACTCAGTATCTATTCCCTTTGCTTTCTCATACAGGAGGACACATCATTAAGACAGCAATTTAAATGTGTACTAACACATTTAACTTGTTCCTACCCTGATCCATCCTACATATGAAGTTGAAAACTGTGTTCATCATCAACTGGGAGAGAGAGATGAGACCTCATTAATAATACCCTGGCTAGGACACACCTTCTGCAACCAAGAGACATGAGATGGTAGAGGTGAACGGTTTCTGTCAGTGCACGTTGCTGTAATGATTAGGTGGCTTTGTCTATTTATTTACCAGCTACTGAACTGAAGATGGAGTGCAAAGTGAAGCAACAGCGCCATGAGCCTGGCTGACGGAAGAAAAATCACAGGGCTATCTGAGTGATTCTGATCTTCTCTGTGTTTGCAATGAGACATCAATAGCAATAGGAAGAGAATTTTCACCCTACTTGGAAGCTGACAATGCTCCTTTGAATATAGAATCTGAACAAAACTTGTGATATCTCCCAGAAAGTAGAAAATATGATCCTTCCAATTCCACTGGTAAGAAAACTTGACTCCAGAGGCACGTGGCTTCCAGGGATAAAGGAACCCCAAATATTCAATGTGACCTATACAGTATTTCAAACCACCTTCTTCATAAGGCAAATCAAGTCGATTTCAATGACCTAAAATACAATGTAAACATGTACATACATTAAAACTACTTTAGTGTAACTTAATTTATATAGAATTTATAAATTTGTATAGAATCTAGTTCCTAAACTAAAAGATTGACAACTTAATGATTTATAATCAAGATTTAAAAAATTATATAGGCTAGGCGGTGGTGGCACACGCCTTTAATCCCAGCATTCGGGAGGCAGAGGCAGGCGGATCTTTGTGAGTTCGAGGTCAGCCTGGTCTACAAAGTGAGATCCAGGAAAGGCGCAAAGCTACACAGAGAAAACCTGTCTCGAAAAACCAAAAAATAAAAATAAATAAATAAATATCTAGATATGTATATATGATGATATTTTTCTTGCCTGAATACAAGATATTTAAATGCATGCCTCAGGAAACCTTAAAATTCTCAAAGAACTCCCTAGGATTTAATTTACATATTAGTAAAAGCTGAAGTTTTAACAACACTTCTCATACAAAGGCTACATATCAAATCAAATTTTCCCCTCATATTATAATATTCTCCAAACCCAATGCAGAGTACCATAAGTACTGATGGGGGCAGATAATATGACAATTAAAAGCATATGTATGGATGAAGCAAACATTTTTTTGAGCAGATTTTTGAACAACTTCCTCTCTCTAGGCTTTCTGATGCTGGGCACTCTGTGATAGATTTCACAGCCAGGATCCATGTGGCAGATGTCACAGAAATTTGATTATCATCATTAAAAAAGCTACTAGCTACCTCTTTGGAGGAAAGCTAGAACACCAAGCTAGGACAACCATAATTACAATCTCTAATTTCATTTGATTTGTGACAAATAACTCCTTGTATAAATATGTATAAAAAATCAGAAGTAGTTGTTGAATAATTTGTATAGCATTGTTTGGCTGGCCTGTAGCAATGGTTACTCTGAAGTATGTACAGATACCCTCATGTCATTTTCTTTTTCCACATACTTAAAAATTAACCTTTGATATGTGAAACTGTGGCATACTCCTGTCAGTCACTGAAGCATTCGGGAGGCTGAGGCAGGAAGAGAGCTGTAGTCCCTGGCCAGTTCTGCCTGCATAGTGAATTCCAGGCCAGCTTTGGCTACATACTGAGATGGTGTTTGAATAAGTCGGCCAGTAAGTAAATAAAAAAAATTATTATTTAAATATTTGAAACTGCATAATAGTAATCTTTTAAACTTTAATTCTGGTGTATATCTATTTTTAAGTGGTGAACCAGAGTCTCTCAGGCCAAGTAAAAACAAGTAATATATTACTTAATAAGTAATAAAGGACTGGCATTTTAATCACTGGAAGTTAACACTGCTATACTTTCTCTCCTGCAGGCTCTTTGTTTTCAAACACATGCATTCAGTCGGATCCCTCACCAAAGGTTCAATCCACAACACACACACACAAGGTTTCCCCAACTGGACTACAGGACAGATGAGCTCTTCCTGCCGAACTTCCACCCTCAGCACCTGAGACTCTCAGGCTGTCTCAGCAGTGAAGTCAGCGGTAGCCATCACTGTGGCTCCCGCCAAGAATAATGATCCCGGCCTGGACAATGGTAACCTTAGCAACTGTAACCTGCAATTCCTGCACAGCCAAAGTCAGATTTATTGTGGCAGGGGCAAACAGGCCAAGAGTAAAATGAAGCAGGAAACTATGGCACCTGACACCTCTAGTGGCCCACACTTTAATCAGAGCTGGCAGAAATTAATTCAAGAGGAATTTTTACACGGCTCCGCTGTCGTATTCCGCCTTTATGCTTGACTACAAAAATCCTAAGGAGACTCTCTTGACATCCCAAAACAAGGTTAGTTGTACATAAGTATTACATTGCCCCAAACGTAGGTATATTTTGTTTAAATTTAAAAAAAAAAGGTATCATTTTGATAATGCTGGGTCTGCTGACACCACTCAATGTTTAGAAAACCCAAGGGAACCAAACATTTAATTAGTCAAGTTATCTCCGAAATTAAATTTGGTTTTTCATAATTCATAATGCCTTCCCAGAGTTATCACTTGCTCATTCAAGTTGCAAACTTGGAACCCAACAGAGACTTAATGCAATACATCAGTCATTGAGACCTTACAAGGGTCAAGTCTTATACTAGACCCCGGGGATATTAAATCAGTTCATAATATATTCATAATATATTCACTGAGAGTATTGACAAGCACAATTATAAAACAAAACTTAGGTTATAATTCTCAAATATAAACATAGTTTCAGTGTTCTGAATTTTAAAAAATGTATTTACAAGAAGAGCAAACTTGAAACTACCTAAAACAATGAAGACTTTTGCTATGAAGTGGGAAAAAAGGAGAATAAAGACAGCTAAGTTGTGTGTTTGTTACACTAGAGAAATTATTTTGTTGCCCTAATTAAACAACAACAAAACCTGAAGTTTTTGGTTTTTTAAGATAAGGGTTGCCACATGACCAATCAATTTAAGCAATGAAAAATCTATTCATCTCCAGTAAAGATTCACTAGCCATAAAGAAGGTGTTTGGCTTTAATATTTGTAATTTCAGGAAGTTTGGTGGGCTCACATTCCTGAGGAATAATTCCCACTTCGGAACCACAAACAAAACTTCTATTCAAAAATAGTGTAGTAAAGTGTGCATGAAAACACAGGTAGATAAATTTCATTGTTGTTTGTTTTCTTTGGAGTTGGGAAGATACTAGAGAAAGAAGAGTTTCTGGAAAGTACCTTGGATATGAAAACTTAGGCTAGATATCTGGGTAAATATAGTAATACTCAAAGAACGAAACTGAAAACCACAAAACAAACATTTCCAATCAGATGCTTATTCATGGCACCATCAATGAAATTCCTCTCAAATGAGCCTGAATAAGCAGCTGCAAACTCAGATGGGAAATGGTGCATCACACACTTGCAAGCTACCTTGAAGGGCAGGCAGGCTTATCTGGAAGATTTGCATATACTGTTCATTGGGTTCAGCCCATAGTGGCCAAGCTCTTCAAAATTCACCACAGTTTGTTTCAGTTAACTAGCTCCAGATTGCCCTGGGAAGAATTTTCTTCCACTCTTAGGTGGATCATAAAAATGCAAAAACCTCCAAGTCAGAGGAGCCAAAGGGAGGAAAGAATCTCCCTGTAGAAGGCAGGAAAACTGCGCTGCCTCTTGCAACCTTCACCCTATCCTCCTTTGCTTTCCCTTTACTTACACCTTCCATCTGTCAACAAGTGCTTGTCCTTTTATTACACTGTCCTGCAGTTTACACAGAGTTGGGATTATTTTACAGAGTTCTGTTAATGGACGGGATAAATGGTAATGCTATTGAAACTAGTCTCCTGCCCCAGCCAACACAGCTGTGAGTGTACTACTATTTCTGAGCAAACATCTTGACCTGAGCATGCAGTGCTCTCTCAGCCCTTCCAAAGAGAAATTGGAGCAGACAGAAAGGGAAAGCATATTTGGCCGCTAGCAGCAATCAACCGTGTCAAATCATAATTCGTATACCGTGTACCCTCTTTTTTCTTTTAGATCACATTTTTGGAGTCTGCAAAAGGCATGTGTGACTGGCATCTCATTTTCAGCCAAAAGTCAGATGATGGTCATTCATTACAAAAATTCGCAGAAATCTGTATAATGTCCAATGTATCAAGATAGTTTTTATATAAGCAAACAATGCTAAAAACAAATGCCAGCTTATAAACTATACGTTAAACCGGTTGTCTTACTTGACTGGCAATATATAGTAAAACTATATTAAATAAAGTAGACACTGAGTAAAAATAAGAAATGGATATATAAATTAGCATCATTTATGAAAAAATTAATTCTACAAGTACTTCCTGCCTGTGATTTACATGTGCACGGCTCTACTCTGTCATTCAGCCAGGTGCAAATGGATATTTTTTTTAATATACACATGCAGCAACTAGTCAATTATCTTCTTGATGCTAATATTCCTCTCCTGTTATTTGTCAGAATTCCTATGTCCCTTTCTCACTCATCCTTCTCATACAATGGTACATATTGAAGAAGCATTTCCACGGGTACCTATGAATGTGGATTTGAACACATTTTTTTTCCATCTACTACAGTATCCATTTCAGGTGAGCAACTAGTCGCCTGTATCATGTGAGGTGGAAAAGCAATGCACCTACACCCTTGGCCCCCATAGATGGATCAGCCCTAGTGTAGTACCCAGACTTACAAACTTTTGCCTTTCTGCTTACTAAAGACTCTTAGTGTTGGTTCTTTCATTTCACTGGTAGTATCATTTAAAGAGCAGTCACATTTATTTCATATCTTTTCCTCTCAATAGAAATACCATAATTAACAATTCACCCACATGTATCTAATTCCTGTGAGGCACGGGATCCTCAGCTCAAACCAAAAATGTTTCTGATATGAATGTGCAAGCAATAATCACACTTCTATGACTATGGTTCCAACATTTAGGAGACTGAGGCAAGAAATGCTACAATTCAGGGCTAGTATATGTACACAATATGTTCTAGGTTAACCTGGGCTACAGAATGTTGAGACACAGGAGAGAAAAAGGAAAGCCAGGAAGAAAGGAAAGAAGGAAAGGAGGAAGAGGGAGGAGAGATGGAAAGAGAGACGGAGGGGTGGAAGGAGACAAAAGTAACCTCTATAGTTCTATTTAAAGAAAATGTCAGCCATCACACAGAGATATTCTGTCAGTACTAACTATGATGCCATGAAGGGCTAGGTTTAGCAATACTACAGTATTTGCATTTGTATTAAACTATAAATATGAACGATTAACATTTTTAGCTTCCATATTGTCAGGGGGAAAGTATTTGTGCAAAACAGACACATAAATATCCCATATGTTTTTCTAGCTGCCCCTTCCCCTTTTTAAACATGACTTCAATTAATCAGAAAACGTTGTCACAGTCTGTGGGGCCTGATTCCTCTTCAGTCCACTTCTCACAGTTTTCACATGTCCCATTATATAGAAGCTTCAGAAAAGTATAAAATCTTAAAATTTAAGGGGAGATCTCTTGGTTCCACTGTGTGATATTGTCAAAGAGGTCTAAATGTCAAATGGTATAATTTGCTGCTGGGGACTTCTAAAATGCATTAAGGCTTGAAAAAACTCCTTGGGAAATCACTTCAAGTACTTCTAGAGAAAACATAAAACACTCCTGTTTTTCAGAGAGTGTTGAGGTTACTTGGTTACTTCTTACATTTTTCATAGTACAACTGATAACAGACACCAGTCATTCCATTTAAGTTCATTTCTGCAGTACATTAAAAAAACAAACAAACCAAAACTTCAAAGCCACTGTATGCTGTTTTGTTATGCACACTGCTAGCAAAGACACAGTCCTGCAAGATCATTGGCCATTAGCTTCAAAATCATTTCTTATAAATTTCTTCAGCCCCATGATAATTAAAACAAGGGTGATCCTATTTAAAAGCAAATCTGGCCCTTACTCCACTAACTGCAATTATTTAAATATGTTTCAATTGATATATATGTATATATATACAATTTTATAGCAGGCTGCATCCTACCTCTTAGAAAAAAATAGCCCTTAGAGATCATTTGTTAGGAAAACTTTCTTTGATTTTGAAAAATACACTTATATAGGACCCATTAAACAGCAGAGGTCACAAATGCAGGAGAAATGCAGCTGGGGGGTTGGGTTCTCCTAAGGGAAGTGATGTCAGGAAAGAGATGTGGAGGGTCAGCTGGGAAAAGTCTCTGTATTGGGAAATGAAGTATCAGGAAGACTGACCTCACAGATATGCTGTTTTCAGTGGGGGTGATATGAAGCTCCCCCCGCACAAGACACATACACTTCTGGAATTGATAACAAAAATATTGAACTTGTAGGCTACAAAGCTTTGGCTACAAAATCAAATTCAGAAAATGGCAATGTGTTCACTTCTTCTACAAACACTTCCATATGGGACTTCCCCAACATCCAGGTGGGGCCACTCCAGGCAACTTACTCTATATATCCCAGCCGTCGATTCACAACATAAACGAACATTGATAATCATTGCTATTTATTTTTTCCAACACTTTGTAGCATATCTGCCATCTGTGCAAAACCAGGCACACAGCTGAAAAATCTAATTTTCAAAGCCTTCATAAATGTGTTTTCACTATTATGCATTAGGTCAGTGAACAAGCATTCCTAGGAGGAAAAATGGATTCCACCTAATACTCACAATGTGCTTTTTTAAAGGAACAACTTCCCTAACAGCCTATGAGATATTCTGATACGAAAACCTTGCCTTGCAGCAGTTCACATTTCCGAATTTGTAATTCTGGCTAAAGAAACACTTAAGAGAGAATTTACATCTTTCAATGCCTTAGGGCAGGTACTATGCACGAACTAATTAACACTACTCCTCAAGTCCCAAAAGAGTACCACAAAAGCTAACAGAAAGAACCCCAACTTTACAGGAAACACTGTCAACTTCCTTTAAGTGGAAGACCAGTAGCAATGTTCTCCTTAAGTTTTTGGTTTCTACTGAGCACTAAAGCAAACCTGTCTATCACCACATAACCAAAAACCAAGAAAAATATACAACGGCAATAATGAACAATTAAACCACAAAAAGCTACATAAACAAAGCCACTGGAACCACTGAAGATCTTCTACTTCCTTCAGAAAGCGTAAGGGCAAACTTTCAAACTAGGAATCTGTTAACACATAGATTCCAGGAAAGCGCAAGAAAACATCCCCCAATTCTATTAATAAAACACAAGGTCAACCCAAAGCAACAGTGAACACTTGTGTCTACTTACAGCCGGTAGAGCTTCGCAGTCCCGAGAAAGAGCAGCTCAGGAAACAACTGAAGGTTATTTCTGTTTAAACGCCTTTGGAGAAAACAAAGAAAAACAGAGCTTAGGTTACACAGAAAATATGCAGCAACGAGGCTGTGCTTTGGTAGCGTCGTGCCTCCTCCTGCATTTCTAGAAATAATGTAATGACATTCAAGAGAATCCAAGCATCGAAAATCAAAAGGTGGTCACATCTCTTGTTACATGACACTTTAACACAGTTTCCCTTGTGCTTAGATGATTACTAGAACCTAAATCCTTAACGCAAGCCCCTGCAGCATCAGACACACATGATGGGATGGGACTTCCTGACCCAGACACAACTTCAATAGAGGATAGGTAGATTATTAATACAGTAAACTGTTAAAAGAATTCATACATTTTCATAAGGTCAAGATTTTCCAACAAGGCACAGTAGACAGAAATTTTAATTTTATTACCTATTTATTTGACTGAAGGTGGAGCATGAGACAGTGTCTATAAGAACTTTTCCCCATAGGTAAAATTAGAATAAAAATAACAAAGCTCAACCCTCAATCCACAGCTCTTAAGCTATCACTGAACTGAATTACTTTCTGTGTGATTAAGTATCATTTCAAATGTTGCACTGCTTTTACTTTTTAGGTGTTTTAGATATTTAGATTAAGAATCTAATTGCAAGATATTTTTAGATGTTTCAGATGCTTCTGACAGGAATCTAATTACAACTCTATCAAGACCCAAAGTACTGTTGAGCTCACAGGGAGTGTGCACACCTACTAGAGTGTGTAAGCAAATGCTAACATTGATATACTAAAGACCCAACCTTACCAGTTGTATGTAAATACTTTCATCAATTGAATAACTGCCTACCCTTCCGCTTCTCCTAAATCTAAATATGCTGACGAGTAGCTAGTGGGAAATATCTATATGAATGATGTATAAGTTGCTTGTCTTCCAAGACCAATAATGTCACCCTGAGAGAGGCAGAAAGAAGTTTCAGTCTTCAAGACAGATGTTAAAGATGTCCGGACTTATTTAAAGGCTTATCAGGCAGAATTAAGAGGATGATTACTTGGTTTCCAGCAGTCAGGAATAAGACCAGTGATTGCATTTTCTAAGAAAGCAGATAATAAGGGAGTCCTTTCTCAAAGTTACCCTAAGGCAAGAAGACCTGCATTCAAAAACTCTCCATTTGCAATCCCATGGATACAAGCAGAGGCTTTATGAAATTTTCTTTGGCTGAAAAGGACAGTCTAAAAGCAGGGTCTGCATTTAAGAGAGCTGCAGGACAGGTGAGCAGAAGGAGTGAGGGTGGTCAGAGCTTCGGGAATCTAAACATGCTAGGAAGCTGCTCATCTACAGAGCCATGCTCAGCACTTAATAAAAACTATACCAATAAAAATGTGTTCCAAGGTACAAGAAGGGCAGAGAGGGAAATTAGTGGTGAAAGGGTGGATTTACAACCATCCGGGCACCAATTTTTATGAATGAACCGCATAATAAAGTTAAAGTGAAACAAAAAACTTTTATTCTTTTTTTTTTCCTTGGGCATGATTCTGAGGGGAAAGTACTTTCATCATCCATATCATCCATCATTTTCCACTTTAAATAAAACAGCTTCATTGAGACTTTGTTGTGATAAATCTAAAAAAAAAAAGAAGAAAGAAAGAAAGAAAGAAAAAAGCTCATTCGCAAGCACCTAAAAGAATCATAGACATTTTGTCATAGTGATAATGACAATTTTTCCAGGCAGCAGGAGTTCTTTGGGGGATGTATGCACAAAATACCTATCCTGGTTGCTAAAATGACAGACACGGGGTGGTTTCTTAATCATATTCTAAGCACTGGATTAACAGACCTCGGCTGATTCTTCAACCCTAACAGACACGCTACTTCAAGCCTCAAAACAAGACCCTGCAAGAGGCAGCTTTCCATAGAGTTTTCCCTTCCCACCAGCGCTTTCTTACACCCTCTATGAAACCCCAGCTCTCCTCTGTAAACTCCATGACTCCCTTGGCTGTGTCCCCAGAGCATTTGATAAGACCCCTTTGCACTGTATTATATTGACTCATGTGCTAGTCTCTTTCCCACTGGGCTGTGAGCTCCTCAAATGTGAAGACCCGATTCTTTGTGTTCCTTCTTCTTCCTCTGGCACTTACTAGGTTAGAACTGTATTAAAAGACAAAGCAATCTCCTGTTCTCATTCAGCACTCCCCAATCTTTCCTGGCATTTAGCAGGTTCTTATTGTGTTGAATGAGAACTGACTGCTCCCTTTGCATTTTGATATAGTTCAGTGAGGACCCAGAATATTGCCTTGATATTAGGAATGCTTTGCTTTGGCATACTCCCTGAGCGACCAGCTGCTATCCAGCTAACCAAATCCCTCCCATCCAATATGCGTCAATGTACCCTAAATATGTACCCTTCCTTCTTCACCCATGACACATTGTCAGCATCATCTAAAGAGAAAAGGAATTTAGTGCATTTAAATAAAGCCCAGTGCATAAGTGACTGACAGCTTTTTCTAAAGTGCTTAATATATTAGCAAAACTTTGTATATTATGAGAAAGTGGGTATTGAAGCCTCTTTGTCTTTATTGTTGCAGTAATTTTCACATTTCCAATGGTTCCTAACTTATACCACACACAAAAAAAAATATCTGATACGTATTAGGCTATGTGGATTACTTCATTCACTTGTCCCAACATCCTCACAAATGAGTAACACACCATGTGTTCTGGTAACAAATCTACAGCTCAGAAGCAGAACTAGCACAAGGCTTCAGGTGGTGTGATGCCACACATCGAGAATCACCATTGCTGCTCCTCACCAATGTTGCAAAATAACGCAATGTTGAAAGTTTCCTTGAGAAAACCAGTTTTATGTAGTCCATTTCTTAAACACCTTTAAGCTAATCAAATGAAAACAAGACACTTAACATTTAAAAAGACATTATCCATGGGAGACTGGTAGGATGGCTCAGTGGGTGAGGTGCTTGCCAGCCAAAATTATAAGCCTGACAACCTGAGTTTCATTGCTGGAACAGGTATGAAAGCAGTAAGAGGAGCTAAAGAGATGGCTTAGTGGTTATGAGTACTGGTCTTCCAAATGACCTGGATTCAATTCTCAAAACCCAATGGCAGTTCACAACTGTCTGTAACTTCAGTTCTAGGAGTTCCAATGCCCTCAGATAGATGTACATGCAGGCAAAACACCATTGTATATAAATAAAAATAAATAAATCATTTTTAAAAAAGAAAAATGTGGAAGGAGAGAAACTACCCCACACAGTTGTTCTGTGGCTTCCACAAGCACACTTTAGCATACAGACCTCCTTGAGAAGGCTGGCACACACACACACACACACACACACACACACACACACACACACACACTCACATACATGCACACACACACTAATTATATTTTTTTCTGAATTTAGTTATTTCTTCATGAAAGTGAATGTGTCTAAAATCATGATGTATTTTGTTTTGAACATGAGGCAAGGTAATATCACAAAAATGGCAGGCATGCTAAAGGAAGAAGAAAAAAATTGAAAATTTGCTTTTCTTCCTCCATCATGGACATGGATATGTATATATAATAAGGTTAATGGAAGGAAGACTTTTCAATAAAAGGACACCAGATTCCTTCAAATTCAATGAAATATTTAAATGTAAAAGTTCTTGTAGATGCCAGAAATTAAATCCCTAAACAGCATATTTTTTTAAATCTATAATTGCTTTAAAGACTAGTAAGATACAAAACAATCACAAAAAAAGTACTGGAGAAAAGGCAGTCCTGTTTTCTAAAGAAAACATCACGGTGACTTAAAAAGGGGAGTGTCATGATGTGAACTCTAATGTAAATGAGATGGCATTTAAAGTGATGGTCCCAGGACAGGACAACAGTGAAAGGCTATTGCATAGGATTATTGATGGGAGACCACACAAGGTACTCTGTAAAAAGCCTTAGTTGTGCCCAAGGACAGCATACAGTCACATCAGTTCTGTGTCATCACCCTGGGATACTGTCTGCCCACAGGATCCGAGGACCATTTGAGGATTCTCTGGATGATGATTCATGTTTTCAGAAAGATGTGTGTGGTGTGTTTCTCTGCGATAGCTTTTCTAAGACCAGAGATAATTAAAGTTCCTAGATCTATGCCACCTGCTGTTTCTGAGTGTGACTTTCAGATGAATAAATGATCTCAGAGCTATCAGAACACTGCAGGCCTCTGAAATGCTGATTAACAACTACCTGGATCATGAGTGAGATGCTTTTTCCTAAATTATTATCTTCCATCTGCCCCAGTGATTTATCCTTTGATGGATACTAGAGTACCTTACTTTTCTCAACTTTCATATCAGCTCAATTAATATTTTAACTCAAGATAACCTTCCATATAATTCAAAATGCAAACATAAAACAGTTTTAACAAACTCCATGAAAAAAATTGTGTTTCATATCCACAAATCAATGCAAATATACTTCAGTATACATCCTGGTCTGAAATTTAGTAAATGTTACCTTAAAATGTATCACTGCTCTCCTACTCTTCATACATAAATAATCAGTGCTAAGGCTAAATATTCTCTCTTTTGACTCTTCAGGTGAAATTTCTACTTGCCCATTTAAAGCATTGTTTTTTGACATTTGTAAAGGAAATGCTTTTATCTTACATAAAATGAAAGTTTTAATTTTCATCAGTTTTATCATCTAGCTTGTTTGAAATAGCTGAAGGTTGGGGTTTTGTTGTTGTTGTTGTTGTTGTTGTTGTTGTTGTTGTTGTTGTTGTTGGTTTGGTTTGGTTTGAGCAAATCTCAATGATGACTTCATCCTCTGTGCCCCATGTTAGAGAAGCCAATACTTTTTCATAAAAAATGATGTTTCTTGCTAATATCTTTCAGTTAATGTTACTCTACATGTTAAGAGAGTATATAAAATACTCTTAAAAAACATAAGGAAAAGTATGCACTTTCTTCATGTCTTCTGATCCCAAGAAGAAACTTAAAGTGAAAGTAACAAATATAGATGAATAAATATAATATATTCATATTTTAAGATACAAAATACCCTTAAATTCAACTTTTGAAAAAGAAGTTGTGTTAAAATCTGTAACTGCAGTTTTTTTAAGCACAGTGTACCAACTATGTGTTCCTAGAAACTGTGTACCTTATCTCACTAATCCCAGAATTAGTAATTAGGTATTACTATCCCTATTTGAAAGGTGAGCAAACTGATGATGATATTAAAGATGATGCAAAGTAATCAAGGTTGCACATGGGTATTAAAATTCAGGGTTTTCTGAAGTCTCTCTTTTGAATGTTTCCAAATTTAGGATGGAGGAGAGTTCATACATGGCTAGACAACACCAGCATCAATACAATGGATGAGTGCTTTGCACTGGTGATCTAGCAGATGATATGACAAGGCACCACAAAGAAAGAATGGCTAGATAGTCCACACAAACACCATTATCATCACAGTCTAAAATAATGTGGCATAACTTCTGCACTAGAGCAGTCTTCCCAAATCCCAGGGTAGAGGGATGCTATAAAGAGGAAAGGCAACAGATTGTGTAGAAGGCATTTTAAAATGATACTCAGCACCCATAACTTGAAGTCAGCTTTTTTGTCCCCAAGATTCCATTATTACTAATGTGCCCTGCTGTCCAGCAGATGTAACTTGTTTTGAAAATAGGACAATACATGTAAAGTCCATAAAGAAAAAAAAAAAAGCTCCCCTTCTATGCAAGCTTGTGAAATGCACTCTGGAAGGCATAATTCAAGCGGAAAGGTATCCAAAAGCAATGAAAGACAGAACTAAATGGAAAATATTTGACATTCACTGCTTCCACAAATACACTGAAACAGTGCAAACTAAACTCCTCATTTCAGGGGAAGCATAAAGGAAACAGCATCCAGCAAACAATGTCACAAAGGATGAGCCCAAAACAGATGTGGGAAAAATAAACACCCTTTGCTGCCTTGGAATTTATAAAGTAGTCCACAGTGGCAAAGTGTCTTCTCAGCACCCTTTGACTTCAGTGCCCATAAAAACACATTGCAGAGATTGTTCCTCTAAACTTGTAACAGCACCCTCTCATGAAAGCTTTCTAAGACCACAGTCAGTAGCACAATTTAAAATAGTCTATATATCGCTTAGACGTGCATCGGAATTGAGGCATTTCACAACTATCAGTCATTTAGCACATTTTTACTTTATGGGATGTGCATCCTCCAGCTCTGATGTATTTCTTTAAGAAAAAAAAACAATGTCTACGAAGTTAGCAACAGGGATTTTAAACTAAGGTGTAAGATACCAGAGAAGAGTCCCTTGAGATGAACTTGGATTCCTTGCCACGGAGATTAGCTAAGTGAGATTCTCTTTACAATAAGAAGTATGTATGTGTTTAGTTGCATATAAGCTTTCAGGATTAGAGGGGAGAGGGGTCCCCTCTACAGCCCGGACAAACGAGGATAAACAGTGCTCTCCTTCAGACCTGTTCTACAACATTTTCTCCACTTGAACTCATGTGTTACAACCTACAACACAACTGCTGTGTGTTCCACAGCTTTTAGCCTCACAGTGTGACTTGTTTATGTCAAAAAGAAAAAAATCAGTACTGTATTACAGCAAAACATATCTTTTAAGTATTTGTTCATGAAATACAGTGTTTGCTCAAATAGAGCCTTTATCCTAAAGGGATCTAAATTTCTATGTTAAAAGTTGATGAGTTTGATGATTATGAATTTGGTGGAAACTTCAAAATATTTAAGTTATCAGATTTATTTCCCAGAATTCCTCCATGGCTACATCACAATATCACAGAATTATATTTTTTAAGCAAACTATCCAGTGGTAAAACCACTAGAAATAAAAATGTTACTTTAAATATGAAGAGAATAAAAGCGGGAGTATTTGAATGAAGTATTTGTCTGAAAAACAGACAGTTGCAGTATTGATGGAAGAGATGGGTATTAATAACTATCCCTATTTTGAAGAAAAGGAAACAGAAGATTTTAAAGAGGAAGTTGTGTTATAAAGATCAGACAAGAGAATTGAAATTCAGGGTCTGTGGAAGTCTCTTGTCCAATGTTTCTGAGTTTAGAATGGAGTTGAGTTCATATGTGGCTAGAGAAACAAACAACAACACAAGTGATGAGAATTTTTCACTGTTGATCCACCAGAATATATTAAAATGGTGCCAAAATCCCCGAACAGCTAGATAATTCATTCAGACCCACACCCTATGTTTTTCTGTCTCTCTCTGTCCTACCCCTATCAGCAGAGTCTAAAACAGCATCACATAGCCCACACTCTGAAACTGTCTACCCATCCACAGTGCCTTCCTACTTCTGTAATTACTATATGATGAGTATTTGGTACTTAGGATGTCCATACAAAGCCACAATTTCCTGTTCCTAGCTGCTGCTGCCCCATGAACATAAGCTAGACAAATATGCACTTCATTTTGCCAGTTTCAGTGTATCACAGTTTCCAATAATATTCCACTTATTAATTTAAGTAATTAATTACTTAATTACTTAATTAATTTATTAATTAAGCTGCTTTCCCCATAGCAAAAAGAAGTGATATGAAAGGAAGGAAGAAACAGGGGGAAGAGAAAAGTTTTGAGATAAATAAATTAAGAAAATTTTCAAAATGAGAGGAGTTGATTTTAACAATAAATGCTGAAGTCCCCCACAAACAGCCATAAAAAGCCAAAGAGCAGAACTCAATGCGTACAGCATGACCGTAGCTGTGAATAGATAGCCAGTGAGCAGCACAGGTCTCAGCAACATGTGGAATTTCTGTGTTGGAAAAGGAAAGAAAAAGAGGGAGGGAGGGAGGGAGGGAGGGAGGGAGG